GAAATCCTAGCTCCCAGATGTCACTCTGCAGTCATCTGGGGACTCAACTCATCCTGGAGACTGGGGTAGCAGAACACTGAACAGGGCTAGGCCTAGGGTAAGTCCAGGTCAGGTAAGGGCCTAGGGAGCAAATTTAAGGAAGCCCTTGGTATGAGGGTTATTAAAGTGTCATCTCTCCTTTTGGGAGACCCTTAGAGTGCTGAGCCCTTAGACACTTAGGCTGCTGAGTTCATGGTAGCAACTGCAAATTGACCCCCTAGGCAAATTCATAATAATTGGTGATTTGGTGGGAGCCAGAAGAGGTGCACACAGATGGGGTTAGGCAAGAACCAGGTCCACCAGATGCATTCACTTTTGAGGGTAAAGAGGTCAGGCATCTGGCAGGTTATTAAGAATACAGAGTAAGAAATAGTGTGGGAGAAAATATGGAAAACTGGCACTGGGGAAACCACTAGCCTTTGACCCACTGACATGGCCTTGCAGCCCTGGAGCTTCACTAGGGCAGGGAGAGGGAACCACCTGGCAGGCCTTGACGCAACCCAAAGGCTTGTGTCATGGGAGATGCCTTGAAGAGCTTCAAACCTACTGTTCAGGCGCTGCTTTTCCTCTGCAGCTTTCCCAACACCAGCCAGACAATTTTGCCACCTGCCTCCATGCTTCATATATTTTCCTGTTTTCTTGCAGTTCATTCTCACTCCCTGCTAGTCACTTTGGAGTAAAACTTTTGACTAGTCTGGTCTTTCTCCTAACTAAAAAGGGGAGGAGGGAAGGAATTGATAAAAAGGGGAGGAGAAACACTGCTGTGGCTGTTCATGGACATACCTGTTCTCTTAGCCAGCTCCAGTGGACAGTTGAAGGCCTGACTTCCTTCTTACTGTCAGAGCAGTGCTTTTCCCAGGCTCATCCAGAGCCTCATGCTGACACTCCCCCCCAGTCTTCAGTTTCTCTCTTCCAAGTCCTTTCCTGACATGGTACCCCTATATTAATTATCTTCCTGTTCTTGCTAGGCACTTAGGTTTTGGCTGGAGTGACCTCCAGCCCAACCAGGCAGCCTTGCCGTGTTAGAATTCCCTAGAGGAACAGAAAGGAGAGCTCTATTGCTTTGAGAACACTGACAAATGGAAATGTTCACATGTTCCAAAAATACCTCCCCCCAATGTGTTTGAGAACATCCTCCCCTGAAAGAAACCACTAAATCATTAAAACACTCAGTGTACAAATGAATTCTAAACTTCTGACCTTTACCTCCATAAAAAAGATGTCCCATAGAGTTAATGAGTAGATGGTGAGGTCCCATTCAACGTCTATAACTGTAGTGAAGAGCGCACTGGATTTGCAGTTAAAAGACAATTTCTAAGTTGTACATTTTCTAAACATTAGCTTTTTCACTTAAGATCTAAGAGACTGAGGTGAAGGTAAAATGAAATAATGCATGCAAAACTATGAGCCACCTTATAAGTGAAATAGCTATAATTGACAATTATGTGGAAACTTCTTCCTCATTTTTGAGCAAGTCACAATTTATATGATTCTAAAAACAAATACAAAAAAAGATATAGTAGAGTATCATTTCTGTGCCTCCTCTGCAATTCCCATCACCTTCCCCTCACAATAGAGAACCAGTTTTGTGTGTATTCTTCCAGTTTCTTTATACAATTACAAAGACATACATTTTCCTTCATTGGGATACTCGTCTTGATTTTTTTTTCACTTAATGTACCTTGGGGAGCTTGTCATAACAATACATAGAGAACCTCCCTCTTTTTACAACTGCATGCTATTTTACTGGATGGAAGTTTCACACTTGAACCAATCTCCTCATGATATTTAGATGATTTTCTTTTCGTTGTTGTTACTGTAATGCTGCACTAAATACCTTGAACATAAGTCTTTTCACCAGTGCACTAATATCTAAGATAAATTTCTAAGTGTGGTTCTGCTGGGACAAAGGATATCTGCATTTGCAATTTGGAAAGCAAATTCCCTCTACTGGGGTGGCAGAGATCTATACTCCCACTAACACTCTATGAGTGCCTGTTTCCACAGACTCACAATGGAGTAGGTTCTCAAACATTTTGGATTAAAATGCTAACTTACTGTTTTAATAGGCATTTCTGTTATGGGTAAAATTTCACATTTTTCATATTTTTAAAGGCCATTTGTATATCTCTGAACTTTTTTCAATAACCATTGAATATTTGATGCTAGAGAGCATCTAAGGTTCACTACAACTCTAAAGTCCAACAATTTTCTGATCATTGCACTAGGCAATTGAGATAAAAGAGAAGCAAAGAATTGAGGTCATGGATATTCCATTTGCTCTGACTAAAGTTAAATACCCAAATATGCCACTAGACTGTGAACAACGAAAAGTGGGAATTATGTTTTATCCATCTTTATTCCCAGCAAAGGGCCCAGCATTTTGCAGACACTTAAATCATAGTGAACACTAGTGATGAGATTAGCTATTCTTGGGAATTCCTTTCACAGAAGAACCCAGCTAGGATTAGGATCTAGATAATCTGGATAGCCTGCCAATGAGTTAAGGTTATTTCTTCTGTTTCATCAGAGTGCAGCCACCCTAAAGCTTATTAATAATCTCAAATATCCATTGTTAGCTATATAAGGTCAGGGTCTGATATTTAATAAATTTGGCAAGTTTACTAGTGAATGAAGTTTGCTTAAATGAAGAAATTGTGATACAAACAGAAGTGTGATGATTCTTAGGAAATCTAGAAGACTATTTGTTGCCAGTGTTTTCTTTCCTATTTTAGGGGAAAAGACTTTCTAATTCTAGATTGTCTGGTTCTTTAGGTAAAAACATCCGGGACTATAAAGGGGCAATACATGTGGCTATCATAAAGGCATTTGATTAAGCTTGTTCTAATTGTGTTTCTCACTGCCTCTTTTCAGATGGCTTCCTACTCTTTATATATATATAGATATATTTCAATTACAATACAATTCAATATTATTTTATAATAGTTTCAGGTGCATAGCATAGTGGTTAGATATTTATATAATTTATGAAGTGATCCCCCTGATAAGTCTAGTACCCACCTGGCACCATACAGTTATTACAGTATTATTTACTGTATTCCCTAGGCTGTACTCCACATCTCCATGACTATTTTATAACTACCAGTTTGCACTTCTTAATGTCTTCAGATGGCTCTCTATTCTGATTCTGCTTGCTGCCTTCTGCCACTCACAGACAACTTAAGAGCACAATAAATCTAATTACAGCAGGGGAAATTTTTAAAGTTCAAATCATCTATGGAAAGATACACTGCAAGCATTTTGCTGTTACTCAGCTTTGCTTAAAACAGTGATTCTCTTTTACGGGTGCAGAGGGTAAATATAGCATCACTTAAGGTTTTTTGTTGTTTTAAATACACATACTCGGTTCCTCCTTGTAGAAGATATCAGACTCCCCTGGGAAAAGCTTGGTCAGGCATACTCTGCAAAAGCTCTCCTGGTTGTTCTAACATTTTTTCCACCTCCCATCTTCACTTTCACCTCTTTTCAAGAATAAAAAGCACCTCCCAGGTGCTTCCCTTTTCCCCATTCCTTTGGCTTTAGCTGGAAACATCGTTTCCCTGAATCAACTGCTCCACTGTTTCCCTTCCTAGCAACCTTAGAGTATCCTGCAACCTTGGAGTATTGGGATGATGCTCCAATGAACTGAGCTACCCTGCCAGGGCTCCCTAGGAATCATTTCTGTGTCCTGTCATGGCATATGGCATGAGAACTACTCCCATGCTGTCTTAACTCCTGCATTCAGAATGAAAAGGAATCATACTTTTGTTCCATATTTGATATACAGTGCTCAATACATGTTTTTTAAGAAAAGCAAAAGAACTATTCATTATCTAACCTCCTCTATCTCTGTATATTTCTGATATGCATTCTGTAAATCTTTTTATTTTTTATGTACCTCTGGAATAAAACAGCTCTGACCACCAACACAGGCATCAAGCTAGGATGAACTAAGGACTATACATCTGCTTTGCCCCTGATTGATATAAGAGCAACACCATCAATCAGGTGTCTCCTTGCCCGTTGCCAGGGCGTCATTTTGTAAATCTTACTAGTTTACTCTCTAGGAGTTGGTATTTTCCCAGTTGATAATTCCCTTAATGAATTTTGTCAATCAAAGTTTATGTGATATTTAAGTCCTTCTTATCATATTACTGACACTTAAAATCACCTAAAATCATCCTAGTTCAATCCCAACTTTTTTTTTTTTTACAGAGAAGGAAACCAAGACCATGAATGGTTAAGTAATAATTCAGCCAAGGTCAGAGTCACAGAACTTTGACTAGAATCCTGGTCTCATTAAGTGCTGTTCCAGAGTTTTCTGCCATAGCATGTTATCACTCCATCAATAATTATTTATACTCATTTAACTCTCAGTGATGAGCACCTACCGTGCCAAGCCTTGTGCTAGATGCTTCCCACACTCTCATTTGAGGATTAATATATAAAACATTTTTAAGATTATCAAGTCAGGGCAAAAACTAGGAAGCCATTACACTCAATTCCGTTTCCCTAAAAGGAATTTCAGGTAAGAACACTTTTGATCAGTGGGACCACTCAACTTAAAGGCCATCTTCTCTTGCCCCAATGATGTCCCCACTTCTCTCCTTACATGCCCTCTCCCCCAAACTCAATTTGGATTTGCTAGGGTATCTAACATTAACTCAACACTTCTGTCTAATCCCATGAAGTTGCTGGTTTTCTCTTAACGATTTTCTTCTTTTCTTCTGAAAGGCATTTTCCTGGGTCCTGTAGCAGGAAGAGAATCTCAATTCCTTTTTCTCTCTTCCCCACAAGGCCTCGCCTCAACCACCCTGCACCACGCCCCCAAGTGGACAAAGTGGAAACAGACACAATATGGTGATTTGAAAGGTCTCGTCAGTAGTTTGTCCATTTCAACGAGTGAGAGCTGCTCTGATTGGAGCGTTATGGGGAAAGGCATCTGTGCCAGAAGGAAGGCAAGTTGCTCCTACACTAAGGATTCCCGGTTGCATTGCAAGGGCTTTCAAATTTAGTAGAAGCCTTTGCGCGAGCAGCCCTGGAGGCTGACCTCAGGACGGTCCGTTTTATCGGCTTCTCAGGGTCATGCTTCTTCTCTTCCCTTGGCCTATTCTCATCTCGGGCCCGAGGCCTGTCTTCCTTCTTGGTCCGTCCTCTCCCCTCGTCCATCACCTTGGCCTTCGTTTCCTCCTTGGCTCTAGAGCGCCCCGGGTCCCGGGCCCTGGACCTTAGCCTCTTCACGGAGCTCTGCGCCCTCGCGTTCCGGCGCCACACTTCCCTGGCCTTCTTGGCCGCCTTGCGCCGCGCGCAGCGCCTCCGCGGGCTCCGCGGCACCGCGGG